GGCGCCCCCCGCCCCCGCCGGACGCAGTGCGGGTCCCGCAGACCCATCATGGGGATACTCCCAACCCAATCCCCCTCCCCTCTCCTCTCCAGAGCCAAACCCCTCCCCTCCTTGCTGTAACCCAGTCCCCTTTCTCCCCCAACCGCATGTCCCAATCCCAGCAGACACCACTGCCTGAAACGCAGCCCCCACCTTTTCCACTATGTTCATTGGAAAATTGACCCCGCAGAACACGTTTTCACTTAACACGAACATTTTCTGAAACATATCTAGAGTGCTAAATGAGGAATTACTGAGGTCAGGACTAACCGCTGAGAATTCATGAGTCACTCGGCTATTCCATTAACCGGTATTTAACACCCCTACTTCACAGGCCCGCCTCCCTCGGGTGCCGCTTCCCCGCTAGCTCCTCGAAACGCCCGCCCTGACGTGCACACCAGCACGGGCGGGGCAGAACTCCGCCCGCCGGATTCTTTCCTCCACGGGGATTGGAGGCGGGACGATTCCATCGGCCATTGCTCGGCAACTCCGTGAGCAGCGCCGCTGGCCGCATCGTTTTATTGAGCTGCAGCGTCTCCTCGTTGCCGGGGCTACTGCTTCACAGCACGTTGGCTACCCCGGCGGTACGGGAACGGTCTCCTGAGGATTTGGTGGGGGTGGAAAGGGCTGAGCGGAAGGCGTGAGGAGAGTGGAGAGCCGGGTTCTCCCGACGCTGCTCTACACATGGGCCTCGCTGCGGCCTTGTATGGCCCAGCTCCAGCACAGAGACGTTAGCCTGGTCTCTAGGGCCCAGCCAGCCCGTGGACCTTTATGTGGAGGCTCAGAGCCGTATCAGATGCAGCAGGGTCAGAGCCGTTCACACAGTCATAGTAGCCTAGATCTGGAAGGGCCCTAGAGAGGCCAAGTCCAGTCCCGGCCCTCACAGCAAATATATACAAATAGCTTCTTTCACACTGACGGGCATGAAGACAAAGATTAAGCCTTAAGCCACAGCGCCGGACCCAACCGTGGCCAGAGCGAGCCAGTCAGCCCCTCTCAGGCTCTGCCCACAAGGCTCAACAGCCAGCACGTCCCACAACACCCCGGCGCTCCCGGCACCTCCTCCCTGGGGGCTAGACACGCCGACACCCTGCACCCGTCTGCTTGTGTCTTTCAGTGCTCGCCCTGCCTGGGAGACGCCTCACTGCTGTGGAGTGTTCCCAGTGCGGGCCGCGTGGTGAGTCCTGCGTAAACCCGAACCGCACCACGGGCCACAAACAAACAGGCCGTGGGCCGCATGAGGCTTGCCTGCCGCGAGTTGAGTAGCCCAGAACTACACCATCCCTGGCAGGTGTCTGTCCAACCTGCTCTTCAATATCTCCAGGGATGGAGACTCCACAACCTCCTAGGCACAGGGAGGGGTTGGTTCATAGAATCCCGGGGCTGGAAGAGACCTCAAGAGGTCATCAAGTCCAGCCCCCTGCCCAAGGCAGGATCAATCCCAATTAAATCAACCCAGCCAGGGCTTGGTCAAGAAAAACTTCCAGGGATGGAGATTCCACCCCCTCCCTAGGAACCCATCCCAGTGCTCCCCACCCTCCTAGGGAAATAGTTTTTCCTAATCTCCAACCTAGACCTCGCCCGCTGTAACTTGAGCCCATTGCTCCTCGTTCTGCCACCTGCCCCCACTGAGAACAGCCTCTCTCCAGCCTCTTTGGCACCCCCTTCAGGGAGCTGCAGGCTGCTCTCAAATCCCCCCTCCCTCTGCTCTTCTGCAGACTGAAGAAGCTTTTGGTCGCCCTCCGCTGGACCCTCTCCAATGCGTCCACATCCTTTCTGTAGTGGGGGGCCCAGAACTGGACACAACACTCCAGATGTGGCCTCACCAGAGCCGAATAAAGGGGAATAATCACTTCTCTGGATCTGCTGGCAATGCTCCTCCTAATGCCCCCTAATATCCATTCGCCTTCTTGGCTACAAGGACGCCCTGTTGACTCATCTCCAGCTTCTCATCCACTGTAGTCCAGCATAGGCAACTAGATTGTCAAGGTCCTTCTAAAAGGCAATTGAGCATGTACAAATTGCAAACACTGAACTGGTATCAGCAGAGGCAAGAGACTCTGAGCCTAACAGAACCAGGGCAGAGTTTAGCTTAAAGAACTGGGTACGTTTACCGCAGGGCCTGTGAAGTCTATCAGACCCAGAGTGCCGACTGTGCAAGGGAAACCAAGCACCCTGAGCTGGGGTGGAGGTGAATTCAGAAGACTCACGGTCCCGTCAGCTGTACAGGAGTTTGCCGAAGCAACCCATTAGGATGGAGGGAGTTTGAAATTCCTGCTACGGCCCACCCATGTGCCAGCAGTGGAAGGGGTCTCACTGACTTCAACAGACTTTGCCTCAACGCCAAACGCTACCGTTTTTCCAGATTCACATACCCGCTAGTGGTAAGTGCAGTGCAGAAACAGGATCAGTTACTAAGGCCATGTCTTCACGCCACAATCGATCTTCTGTAGTTTGATTTAATGGGTCTAGTTAAGACCCACTAAATCACACTCAGAGGGCCAGTACTCCTGCTCCCATCAACCTCCCCCTGTGGGGTCGGCAGGGAAACTCGAATCGAGGTACATCGACTCCAGCTACGTAATTAACCCGAACGACCCTAAGATGTGCCAATGACAGTGGGAAACGCAGGCTAAAGAGCCTCATTGGCTCCCAGAAGATGCCCATGGCGCTGAGAAGGAAAGGAGTAGGAGAGTGTCCCAAATAAACGAGTTACCTGTTCATCCCAGGCAGGTTGCCCCAGAAGTAGCGTGCTCGGTGCGCGGCAGATACCTTGACGGCGTCGATCATGACTGGGTTGCACTGCGTTCCGGGAGAGAAAGGGAAAAGATGAGAGACACGCACTGGTGGCTGGCACAAACCACACGCCCTGTCACTAACTCCAGCCACCTCCAGCGGCGTTCCACGTCCACCCACGGCCCGGCGACGGCTGGCGCACGGCCCTGCTCCCCAGGGAGCAATGAACAAAGCCTTAAAGGGTCTTCTGGGTAGGACCTCAAGAATCCAAGCGCTGCTGCGACATCCCTGGGGACCATGCCTGGCCCAAGAACTGTGTTCTCCATTGCACGCAGGGTTTGTCACTCAGTCGGCCCCTCAGAGGGAGCCAGGATAGATCTCTGTGTGTGGGTCTAGCGCCGCGAGGCCCCAGGCGCCGTGCAATGCCAATGGACGCAAATTCCGCGTCTCCCTGCTCCTCCCATTAGGCCAGGGGCAGGATTATGCTCCCAGGCGAGCCTCGTCTGGCACAGCTCTCTGAACTACTGGGCGGAAGCACACGCTCCTCCTGCCAGGCCGCTGAGAACTACTCGTCCCATTTCGCAGACAGGCAAACAGAGGCGCCGGGGGGAAGCCACTGCTGGAGAGCCAGGGACACAACCCGGATCTGCCAATCCCCAGCCCTGTGCAACATGCTCAAAACACCCTTCCTCCCCCGTTGTACTGCTGGAGAGGTGTAACCACAGGCCGTACACAATCGCCAGCTGCACGTATTCACGTGTGTACGTAGTCCCGCTCAGCCTCAGGCTGATTTCTAGGGTACTAGCAGACTT